TTTTATGGTGGGGGCAGTGGAGGGCCAAGCTTGAAACCACAACATCCGAGCAAAAACAACCAATCAGAAACAGAAGGTGCGACTTGCTGGATGTCAATCATTTGTCGCTTGCGACTGCAGTGGTTTCTTGCTCGTTAATTAGAGACTTAAAATGGGGCCAGGAACGGCTGATTCTTCCCCCCTGCTCATTTTTTTTTAAACATTGTGTGCTACTGTCAGTTTACAATGAGTCTTAACAAATATGGCAAGGAGAAAAAAAATGGAAACTCCCCCTTTAAAACAACAACAACAAAAGATGAAGCCTTGAAAAGTGACTCACACTCATCTGATTTCACAGCGCAGACGTCGCCCTCGAGGCAGGTGTGGGGAACGCTCTGCACTTTCCAAACAAATTCATACACTTATGGCATTGCAGTGTTTCACCTGTGGGAGGGAGAAAGAAGGAGGGTGACAATTTGAAATGGGCCGACTTTATTCTCGTAACAACAAAACTGAATTCTTGGGAAAGTTGGAACCTTATGGCAACGTTTTTTTTCTCCCCCAGAATGGCTTTTTTCACATTTTGTATTTTAAATTTTTACTAGATTGAGAGGTCATGATTTTTCACAACAATAAGCCTTCATTGTCAGCAAAAAACACTTTTTTTGCGCAGTGTTTATGAGCTTGTTCTTGTGCACTCAATATTTAGTCTCATGACTAAACCTTCGGAATCATACAGCTCCATTTTTGTGAAATTATGGCATCTCCTTGACTATTGTGGGTTTTTCTTGTGAAATGACGAGATGTCATCAGGAATTTCATCATTCCAAAGTGTGTGCGTCTTCAGCAGGGAGTATTCCAATTCCAGGTGATGATTGTTACAAGGACGCCAAGCTACACTGCGGGCATGGGAAAGTTATACAGCATGACTAAATTTGGGCAGAATACAGACTTCAATATATAAACTTCTGCCTCTTAAAATATTGAGAGTTTCAGGAATATTTTCATATAAGTCCTTAAAAGAGAGAAGATGACACTCACTGGCTGTGATCAGCACAGCGGCGCACAAAGCCACGAGCAACCACTTCATTGTCTTGTTCACCAGAAGTAGTCTATCGTCGACTTGTCAGTTCAGGCTTTTTCCGATCAATGATGACTTCATTGAAAAGTCTTCTCTTATATATTAGGATAGGATAGGATAGGATACAACGTTATTGTCAAATATGCTGTACCCGCAAACCCGCCTCAAAACTCACTTGTATTCTTTGGCATTTGACTCAGCATGACTTGATTTGTTCTTGGTTTTGCTGTTCGGTGCTTTCTACCGTCTTTATTGCCGATTTGCTTTACTGTTTGTTGTATATGTTAAATTGCTCCATGTACAGCACTTTGTATGCAGCGATGGCTGTTTGAAAGTGCTCTATAAATACAGTTGAGTTGAGTTGAGTATGTGTAACATACAGCACAGATGAATTTCTTCCCTCTCAAGACAACATGCAACAAGAGGAGCCGCTGCGGGTGTCCGCGCCGCCATCAAAAGAAAGTTAAAAAAATGATAAAATAACTGATCTTAATAATAATAATAATAATAATTATTATTATTATTAAATTTCCAATGTACATACATTTGAATCAGATTTTTTTAACTGTTTCTGGCACAAGTGAATTTTTACATGCTTTGTAAACGTTTGTTTAATTATAAAAGAAATAGATGTTGCTACAGAATGGTCCAGCGAGGATGGCCTACTTCAGGCCCAAGACACAAGCACCCAGGGGATGTCCAGCAACGACAGTCAAATGGCGCCGACATTCCTCCCAATCAAAACATTGGTGCTGGTACGCGTGTGCTGCCGAGAAGGCGCAACCACCAAGCACAGATTCTTCTTCTTTGACGAATGCCGTGGCCAAAAATGCTGAAAACATTCCACATCAGGTCCACACGATGTAACAACAACACCATGTGACAAAACAAAGACAAAAACAACAAAAAAACAACAAAAAACACAAGGCTCTTGAAGAGCACTTGCCGACGCTTGCCTATCCGGGCGCCATCATTTGCTCTTATTTACTCATCATGTTTCCAGACTTAACCAAATATGTTTTTGGCATGTGTGGTATGTATACAAACGATGAGTCATGAGATTGTTTTCCAACTCTTTGGATGATTGACCCTTTGATGTATGATTAAAAGACCATCAAATTAATTGTCTCGTCGGCATCAATGTTTGCAGCTCAATTACCATGAGCATGGCTCATACTGTTGCTAAAGCTATGTATGTGCTGGACCAAGTGCCAAGCACATCTTTATAAATGGGAAACGGGTCTGAGAGAAGACCCTCCACCTTCACTGACCACGTACCCAACACAGTTAAACCAGAGAAGCCGATTTTCTTTCATCTCAAAAGTACAACGGAATGAAGAACAGAATCATAGACTTATCCGGATGCACAATATTGTTTATAGTCTCGGGCAATGGTTTTCAACTTTTTTTTTTGCTCCAAGGAGCAGTTTCAAAAAAAGACTTATTTGTTTCTATTTTGCTCCATCAAAACAACAAATGATTCAATGCGACTTGCTAGCATGCTGAAGGCTGTTAGTCATGCACACATTTCTCATTATCAAGGCTGCCGGTCCATACCGTAGCATGTTAGATGCAAGACGTAACTTGCCGACATCAATGCCAGTCAGAGGAAAAATGTCATTTTTCTCTTGTACTGTATCTATTTCACAAGTGCTTTTGGTGTATTGTACTAGTGACCATGCCACCTTTCTCATTTATGGTTGAATATTTCCATTGTTGTCAGCTTGTTATTGGACATCACATTGGCGATAAAGATGACCCTTCACTTGGTCCCGTTGCTGCCAGCATAAATCTCTCAGGCAGTCAGACTCAAGGCGATTGGACTATCCGAAACTTAGCAATGTGAAGCAAACCGTAATGTATCTCCACAGGAAGTAGGAGAGACAGAGGCAGGCATTCTGGCAGGCACTGACTCTCCTAAGCCCCATCTCTCTGCATGCTAAAAAAAAAATTAAAACATCAAATAACGTTTGGGGACCTTTGGTCTATGGCACAAACAGTACTTTTAGCGTAACAGAGGCACACATAAGGTAGCGTCATCTTTCTCGTGAAAGTCATTGATGACGATTTAGAAATAGGCTCCAGCTCGTGATATAAGCTCACGTGGCAAATGCAGGAACGAGCTGGCGCCACGGAATAAGCCGGTCAGTGACCACCACCGCAAACTGAATTCACAGTTCACTTGTGGCACTTCACCAACTGTGATGAGCAGGTTATGCAAGAAAAACAAACCTCTGCCCTCTTAGCAAATATGAACACATCATGCAACCAAATAATCATTATGGAGATTTATTCCTCAAAAGTTGAAGATGCTTCCGCTTTGTGTGTTCTTGGTGGGGTCAGGTTGGTGATTCGTCAAGATCTTTGCAGCAGTAGCCTAAATAGTGGTGACACGACAGTTGGTTCAACTCCCCTGTCCCATTGAGGGGTTTGCGTTGACGGCATGGTTAGTGGCCCGCTTTTGATGATACGCAAACTCAAGGGTTGCAGTGTGTCCAGAACTGCCTTCTTTACGTGTGTAAAACCCATATCTCACCGAGCGGCGAAGGTTTGGCGAGTGCTTGCGTGATGCTCAAATGTTGATTTTTCATCAGGGTGCATTGAGGGACGTAAACGGTCGCAAAGTGGCACGCGAAACATTCGCCAAGAGTTTCAATGGTCACAGCTAGCATTTGTATGTTTCAACTTTCTTTGCGACAAGAAAAGCTGTTTGCAGCCTTTTAGGAACCCTGAGGAAAAGCCAACATTTGCGATCTAGGTAAACACTCGCGGCTCAGTGAGGGGATTTTAGGCCTGAGAGTTTGAGGGTTCTACGCAGGCTGTTAGTTCTTCCACAATACAGTGGTACCTCTACTTACGAACGTCTCTTCAGACAAAATTTTCAAGTTACAAAATGCCTCAAGAGGAAAATATTGCCTCTTGTTACGAAAGAAATTTCAAGATACGAAAGGTAAAAATACTGTTTGGTCTGCTACTCGCAGCTCCGAGTTTCCTGAACGCAACATACTTATGGCTGCTCTCCCATTGGGTATTACGCAGGATAATCCTGGCATCCCATTGGCTAAGAGGGACCCCTACCGTATGTGTCTATGCGTGTCAATAAATAGAGATGCGTCGATGTAGCGTCCTCGTCAATCCTCCCACGGGCTATGAGGCGTTCCGATAGTTTTACGTAAATGTGAATCACCCAGAAAAAGTGTACACCAGCCGGGCGGTCGCTCACTACGCTGATGTTTGCCTTGGACATTTTGGAAGGATTGTTAAAAGCCGACAAAAGCAAACGTACTTGGATCAGTTCTTTACAAAACGCCAGGCAAAAACCTCATCGAAGACAGCACATGAGCTCAAGAGGGCAAAAACGATGAGGGCGCAGTTAAAAGTAAAATGACCATTATTTTTAATCTTTGTTTTTTACATGATGCACAATTCATTTATTGCGCAATAATCTGATTCCATCCATTTTTTGGATCCGCTTTATCCTGGTGGTGAATGTCATCCCATGCTTGCTTGTGAACGCCAGAGCCTTTCACTGATGTAGCCTTTATCCCCAGTCATGACACTCACTCCTTTCCAATGAACCTCTTCACCTGTGGAGTATTCCGAATATGTGTGAAAAAAAACATGAATCCAAAATTGTTTCTCTCATTCCCCAAATGAAGACGAACACTTGGAAAGCACCTTTGTTGAGCGAGGCACCAGGAGGATGGTGGTGAAGCTGGTGGCATGTGTGTTTGTTGTGTCCATGCGCCACGTTCACGCCCAGTGCAGTCGACTGCATCGAGTGGTGCCCCATGATTAAAAATGCTTTTGTGTGCTCAGAAGCCACTTGAGCCATTGGCCCAACAGGATAGTAATTTTTTTTTTTTTGTCCAGGGTATGCATGGCGAGCACTCATAGCCAGTTACTTTCAACACAAGAAGAATTTCACAATCACACAGAATGCAAGAAAAAAAAAATCCTCCATTTATTTTTTTTATAACGTTTTTTAATGCTTTCCAACTAAACTACAGAGAAAATAGGTTGAACCACCAACACACTCCAATCCTTTGGTAATTATATGAAAGGATTGTGTAAGACGTCCGTCCATTTTGGAGGACTTCAAGTTGGGGGTTTGTCCGCTGGCACTGTCACGGCCACACGCACTCCTGGCCACCGGTGACTGGAAGACAGAGAAAGGACAACATGCGACCATGTCAATTTTCTTTTGTTTCTGCGATTAATCACAGTGAACCCCCATTCATAGTGGGGGCAGTGGTGGTTGTAGAGTAGCTTGAATGACATCGTCTGGTCGAAACTACCGTGCTTGTGCAAACAAGCAATGAGAGACAGAAGGCGGACTTATTGGATGTCAGTCATGAATCGCACATGGGTGCAGTTGTTTCTTGCAAGTGGAATGGGACAGGATGGGGTTAGACATGGCGGCACTGCTTATTGTCAGGCCATAGTGACAACTTTGCATATTGTTTCTGATGGTTTGAGCACATATCAAGCAAATATCTTGCTGAATTGTTCAAACCTTCATATTTGTATTTTTTTAAGCAATCAATTTACACAATTTGGTCAGTGTGCCAACTCCACGCTGGTGGCAAAAATGGAAAGCACATTTGGACTGCCCGCGTTTGGCTTTTGACTGCGTATGAGACTTGATTTTGAGTTTTAATCATTTTTGTGCTTTCTGCTGTCTTCGTAATTGATTTGTTTTATTGTTTGTTGCTGTACGAATTCTTTTTTGCTCCATGTACAGCACTTTGTAGACAGCGGTGGTTGTTTTCAAGTGCTCGATAAATACCGTTGATTTGACTTGACTCATGCCTTCCCTCGCTCCATCCGTCGAGCTTGTCTTCAGTCTTCCTCTTGCCCTCTTTCCCGGCACCTCCATTCTCGTCACCCTTCCACCAACATATCCTGTCCTGTGAACGCGACCCAACCAGCTAAGTCAGCTCTCTCTAACCTTTCCCCCCAAAGCATCGTGTGGAATTGTCGCTCCTCAATATAGCTCGATAAATACCGTTGATTTGACTTGACTCATGCCTTCCCTCGCTCCATCCGTCGAGCTTGTCTTCAGTCTTCCTCTTGCCCTCTTTCCCAGAGCCTCCAATTCTCGTCACCCTTCCACCAACATATCCTGTCCTGTGAACGCGACCCAACCAGCTAAGTCAGCTCTCTCTAACCTTTCCCCCCAAAGCATCGTGTGGAATTGTCGCTCCTCAATATTTAGTCTCATGAAATGTAACACCCCCCGCCCCCACCCTTGTATTAGTACGGCTCCTTTCTCGACTGCGTAGAATAAACTAGGCTGTCTGAAAGGAAAATGACACTCACCAGCTGTGACCAGCACGGCGACGCAGAAAGCCAAGATCAACCACTTCATTGTCATGTTCACCACGATAGCCTGTCGTCGACTTGTCAGTTTACGCTTCTTCGACTCAACGATCACTTCAGTCCAATGTGGTCTTTTATACATTAGTTGCTCTTGTTTGCTTGTTGTCTTTTCCAGCCTTGCCCCTCGTCCAAATATGTATCTATATGATTTCTCATGGTCCCACCCTGACTCGAGGCGTTCGTCAGCCCCCCTTCACACAACCCAATTTATGACGTGAACGATTTAATGCACAGGTCCAGTCCTATAGAGCTTGCCAATGAGCTGATCAGTTGGATCAGGTGTGTTGCAGCAGGGAGAGATGGCAAACATGCAGGACGCCGGCCCTCGAGGACCAGACTTTGACACCGATGATTTCATGTGAAGAAACTGTACATTAAAACCTGCTTTGCGTGCTTTAAACAAGGGACCTAACTTGTCATCATTGGTAAAATGACATTTATTTGCCTGAACTTTTTACTGTTGATGAACTTAGCGACGAATTTCTCAAAGAGCTAAAATTGCTCTCTTTTCGTCAAGTAAAATTGGACTGAAACGAAAATACAATCAAATGCCTAAACTATGACGAAAAATTGTTGTCAAAATTAACAACGGGGAGGACTGAACACATTTAGGGGGAAAAAAATTTAATTGCGATTTCTCTGACACAAATTGTGTTTTCAATTCATTTCATGATTTTCTTCAAATTAAGCTTCAATGCGAAATTCACTCGGTACTGTAACTTTTAGGCACATGACCTAAAATAACACCTTACGTGCTAACCAGTAGACCACCGTGCCGCTCGCTCAAAACATATGCAACCAACATTTCAGAGTTCTTTTTTTTTTCACTGCAAAAAAATGATTTTAATGCGACTTACTATCATGCTGAAGGCAGTTACTCATGCACAAATTTCTCATCGTCAAGCCTGTTGGTCCATGCCATAACATGTTGGATGCAAGACGCAAACTCCCGACATCAATGCCAGGCAGAGGAAAAGTATCATTTTTCTGTCATGGCATTGCACAGCTTCACCTGAGGAGTAGAGTTGGGGGTGTTTGATAAGTTGAACTTATTTTTTTCCTCACACAACAAAAGATTCTTAGGATGATTGTTGGGATCATTGTCATCAAGTAACCTATGCAGAGGTACCTGTAATTCGGCAGTCACTATCTCTTTGAACAATGGAAAGAGGGGAAAACATTCATTACTTTCACACCATAGCAAGCAAAACACATGGCCAAGAAGTCATCGTTGAACATGCCATCCACAGTCATGCTTTCATCAAATTAAATGCACACATGTACCAGTAAACCCCCTCACAATACAAGCAAAAACAAATCTAAGAAAAAAGCAACATCAAGAATTGTCAAAAATTAAGACTTTGGCGTTGCTGTGCTTTTTCGATATGAATTGAATGAATGAGCCACAGACTGCAGTATGCGAAATGGCAAAATAAATAAATAAAATTTCAGTGCACAACAGTTATGTGTCTCACCGAGCGGCAAAGGTTGGACGAGTGCTTGAGTGAGGTTCCAACGTTGATTTTTGCATCAGGTTGCATTCAAGGTGAGATGATCAGTTCAAGCAAATGTATTCTTTCATACATTAGTATCTCTTGTTTGCTCATCGTCTCGACAGACTGTACAGCCCTGGTCCAAATATATGTATTTGTATGATTATTCCTGATTATTCATTCATCAAGTTTTAAACTTTGCCGACGCCTTGGAATGAGCCTGTCTCCAGTCACGTTGCCGCCGGTTATGACGAGTTTGAGCAACTGACAGGGTGCCTCAGCACACCAGGAGCAGACGGAAAAAAACAATACATTAGCAGCAATGTTTAAACATCCATCCATCCATCCATTATCTGATCCGTTTATTTTCACAAGGGTCGCGGTCTTGCTGCAGCCAATCCCAGCTGTCTTCGGGCAGGATCTGGCGTACAAACTCAACTGGTTGCCAGCCAATCGCAGGACACACATAGTCGAAGAACAAGTCGCGCTCACAACCGCACCGAGGGACAATTTAGAGTGATCGCTTAAGTTACCTCTCCGACATGTTTTTGGAATCTGGGAGTCAACCGGAGTAAAACCCACTCAGGCCCGGGGAGAACATGCAAACTCCACACAGGACGGCTATGGACCGGGATCGAACTCACGACCTCTACACTGTGAGGTCGGCACGCGCTAACCACTGGACAATGCTTCAACTTGACGAGAGATATGGTTTGTACTCTGCTATCTGCAGCAAGGTTCTCAATTCCTATACCTGGTTCGATAAGAGGTCAAAAAACGTGAATCCAAAAATGTTCCTGTCATTCCCTGAATGAAGATGAACACTTGGAAAGCACCTTCGTTGAGCGAGGCACCAGGAGGATGGTGGTGAAGCTGGTGGCATGTGTGTTTGTTGCGTCCATGCGCCACATACACACAGTGCAGCAGACTGTAGAATTGAAAATACTTTTGTTTTGTTTTTTTGTGCTCAGAAGCCACTTGAGCCATTGGCCCAACGGGATAGTAGTTTCTTTTGCAGGGTATGCATGGCCAGCACCCAAAGCCGGTTACTTTGAACGTGACAAGAATTTTTCAATCACACAGAATACAAGCAAAAAAAGCCCCCAATTTTTTTTATAACGTTTTTTAATGCTTTGCAACTAAACTACAGAGAAATAGGTTGAACCACCAACACCCTCCAATCCTTTGATGCTCTTATTTCAGGATTGTCGAAGAGGTCCATTCTGGAGCACTTCAAGTTGGCGGTTAGTCAACTGTCATGGTCACGGATCCGCGCAATACTGTCCGATGTTGACTGCAAGACAGAGAAAGAACAATGTGTGACGATGTCAATATTCTTTTGTTTCTGCGATTCAGTGAAGCCCCATTTATTGTGAGGGCATTTGACACACGTTGATCATCTTAGTAAGACCCCCAGTGTGCCAACTCCACGCTGGTGGCAAGAATGAAACCCACATCTGGCTTTTACTTTCTCTGTGCACAAGGTTGGCAAAATAGGATGAAACAATGTACAGCTACTCACGTGGGTAATTACGGCAGACTTGGCCCGGTGCACACGTTTGAGGGTGAGGAATGCATGGTAGCCCAAACAAGAAAACACAGGAATTGCATTGCAGGGCTTCACCTGAGGGGTAGAGTTGGGAGTGTTTGATCAATTGAAATGATTTTTTTTTTTCCCTTTCGGCTTGTCCCATTCAGTGTCGCCGCAGCGTCATCTCGGACACCGACTGCCCTTGTTTAGCTTTTGACTGCGCGTGAGACTTGATTTTGGGTTTGACAGTTTTTGTGCTTTCTACTGTCTTCGTTATTGATTTGTTTTATTGTTTGTTGCTGTACGATTTTTTTTTTTGCTCCATGTACAGCACTTACAGCGGTGGTTGTTTTAAAGTGTTCTTTAAATACGGTTGATTTGACTTGGCTCATGTCTTCCCTCGCTCCATCCGTCGAGCTCCTCTTCAGTCTTCCTCTTTCCCGGCACCTCCATTCTCGTCACCCTTCTACCAACATATTCTGTCCTATGAACGTGACCCAACCAGTTAAGTCGGCTCTCTCTAACATTTTCCCCCGCCAAAACGATCAAACCTCGGCTGTCCCTCTGATGAGCTCATTTCTGATCCAATCCACCCTGGCCACTCCGAAAGAAAAACTCTACTTCCTGCTGTTTTGTCACTGCAACTGTCTCGAATCCGCACATCATGGCTGGCCTCACCAGTAGTTTCGAAACTTTCCCCTTTGCCCTAACAAGAGACTCTTCTACCACAACGAGGACATGTATTTGATAATTAAACTGATTTTGAAACAATCAGACTTCCTTTTTGTGGTCATGGTTATTGTGTGTGGGGGGGGGGGCAGTGTTCTTATGGAATTATGATTTAACACAGTTTCTTCATAGTTTATGAGACCTTTGTTGTTGAATTACAGCTGCTCAATATTTAGTCTCATGAAATGTAACCCCACCCCTTTTGTATTAGTACAGCTCCTTCCTCGCAAAATTATGACATCTCTTATAAAATTGCTGATTTATTCTCGTGAAATCTAGACTGACCGAAAGGAAAATGACACTCACCAGCTGTGACCAGCACGGCGACGCAGAAAGCCAAGATCAACCACTTCATTGTCGTGTTCACCGCAGTAGCCTGTCGTCGACTCGTCAGTTTACGCTTCTTGCACTCAATGATCACTTCAGTCCAATGTGTTCTTTTATACAGTGCCGTGGAAAAATATTTAATATATGCCCCCCCTTCCTGATTACTGTGTTCTTGGAATATTTATCAGACACGAGTTTCATTTCATCAAACCAATTTTAATATCACACAGAGCCAACCCAAGGAAATTCCAAATGCAGTTTTCAAATGACAATTCAATTTATTTATTCACCAAAAAAAAACAAACACCTTTCCGACCTTCTGTGAAAAAGTCATTGCCCCCAGAACCTAATACTGGGTTGTGCCAACCTTGGCAGCAATAACTGAAATCAAGCATTTGTGATAATTACTGATGAGTCTTTCACATCGCTGTGGAGAAATTTTGGCCCACACTTCTTTGCATAATTGCTTCAACCCCGCCATATTGAAGGGTTTTCTAGCATAAACTTCCCGTTCAAGGTCACAGCACAGCATCTCAGTTGGATTCAAATCCAGGCTTTGACTTGACCACTCCAAAGCCTTAATTTTGTTTTGTTTTTTTTTTAGCCATTCAGATGTGGGCTTGCTGGTGTGTTTCAGATCATTGTCCTGCTGTGTGATCCAAGAACGCTTGCGTTAGAGGGCACTAACTGATTGTCGGACGTTCTCCCTCAGAATTTTTTGGTCGAGAGCAGAATTCATTGTCCCATCAATCACAGCAAGTTGTCCTGGTCCTGAAGGAGCAAAGCGGCCACAGACCATCACACCGCCACCACCATGCTTCACTGTTGGCATAATGTTCTTTTTATCAAATGCGTGCCATTTTTACCCAAGACGTAGCGGGCCGCACATCTTCCATAAAGTTCCATTTTTGACTCATGAGTCCACAGCATGTTTTTCCCAAAATCTTGAGGATCATCAACATGTCTTTTGGCAAATGTGAGATGAGCCTTTGTGTTCTTTTTGGACAGCAGTGGTTTTCACCTGGCAGCTCTCCCATGGATTCCATTTTTGGCCAGTGCCAGGTTCAAATGAAATTATACAAGAGCTCCGTTTACATTGACATCTGGGATACAGGTAGTGCAGAGTCTTATTTCTATTTGTTGTTCATATTTTGGGAAGCTGTTAGTAACTGATAGTGGTGCTCCACTCTATCAATTACTAACAAACTGAAATAATCGATCGTAGATCCGTACGTATCTTGACGGAACCTGAAATCTCGGTCTCATAGCCCATGTGACATCCATCACGTTGGTTTGAAGCCGAGTTTGATCGTAACCATACAACTGTCGTCACAAGTCTGGGCATGCGGAGGGCCCACTTGCAGAGACTGTAGACAAATTGAGAAATCAGCCAATCGTTGGTCCATGTGTGAGTAACATACCCAATTCCCCTGTCCCATTGAGTCGTTTGTGTTGATGGCAAGGTTAGTGGCCCGCTTGACACCCTTTGCAAACTCAAGGGTTGCAGTGTGTCCGAAACTGCCTTCTTTACGTGTGTAAAACCCATATCTCACCGAGCGGCGAAGGTTTGGCGAGTGCTTGCGTGAGGCTCGAATGTTGATTTTTCATCAGGGTGCATTCAAGGTGAGATGATCAGTTAAAGCAAATGTGTTCTTTTATGCATTAATGTCTCTTGTTTGCTTATCGTCTCGACAGACTTTACAGCCCCGGTCCAAATATATTTATCTGTGTGATTATTCCTGATTATTAATTCATAAAATTTGAAACTTTGCCAATGCCTTGGAATGACTGGAGCCATCAGTCTGTCTCCAGTCACGTTGCCACCCATTATGACGAGTCTGAGCAACTGACAGGGTGCCTCAGCACACCAGGAGCAGACGGAAAAAAACAATACATTAGCAGCAATGTTTAAACATCCAGCCATCCATCCATTATCTGATACGCTTATTATCACAAGGGTCGCGGTCTTGCTGGAGCCAATCCCAGCTTCGGGCTGGAGGTGGCGTACACCCTCAACTGGTTGCCAGCCATCGCAGGACACACGTAGGCGAAGAACAAGTCGCGCTCACAATCACACCGAGGGACAATTTAGAGTGATCTCTTAAGTCACCTATCTTGCATGTTTTTGGAATGTGGAGTCAACCAGAGTAAAACTCAATCAGGCCTGTGGAGAACATGCAAACTCCACACAGGACGGCTACGGGCCGGAATCGAACCCATGACCTCTGCACTGTGACAAGGACGTGCTAACGAGTCGACCATGCCGCCCTACTGTGTATGTGTTTGTATGTGTGTGTGTGTGTGTGTGTGTGTGTGTGTGTGTGTGTGGTGTATAACACAACACAAATATAGTGTTGGTTTGATGGGACGGTTTGGTGGGACGGTGGGCGACTGGTTAGCATGTCGGCCTCACAGTGCAGAGGCGCAGGGTTTGATTTTGGCTTGAGCCTACCTGTGTGGAATTTGCATGTTCTGGATCTGGTTTCCTCCCACTATGGCAGGTTGATTGAACGCTCTTAATTGTCCCGAAGTGTGATTGCATACTTCAAGGTCATGCTGCATTCTACTGTGATTTGTTCAATATATCATGAACGAAGTTGACAAATTGTTTTCTATATTTAAGGGAAATCTCAGGTCTACGGTAAATTTGTGCAAAACAAGTACAAACCAATACTATCCATCTAATCTGCTTTATCCTCACAAGAGTTGCGGGTGTGCTGGAGCCTATCCCAGCTGTCTTAGGGCAATAGGCGGGGTACACCCTGAACTGGTTGATAGCCAAACGCAGAGCACGCATAGACAAAAACCATTCACACGCACAATCACACTTCGGGACAATTAAGAGCGTTCAATCAACCTGCCATTGTGGGAGGAAACCGGAGTACACAAAGAAAACTCCGCACAGGGAGTCCGTAGCTTGAATTGAACCCGGTACCTCCGCATTGTGATGTCGACGTGCTAACCACTGGATCACCGGGCCGCATACAGAGAAAAGATCGTAGAGCATTTTGGCATGCATACCCACACAGACTGACATTCATGTTACGGTGTCAGTGGAAGAGTGGTCGTTTCCCAACCCAGCAGTTGGTAGTTCAATCCCTTCCCATTGGGACCATGTCAACTTGCGCTTGAGCAAGATACTGAAGCCCCAGTTACTCCTGATGCGGCATCATCGGTCGGTGAATGTGGTAACAGTATAAAGCGCTTTGAGTACTCGAGGTAGAAAAGCACTATGTAAGTGACAGCCCATTTACCAGGTAGCAAGCGGGGGTGGGGGGGTCAGTGTCTTGAACCCGAAACCGCCCGTAGGCTTGAATTGTAAACAAGAAGCTGTTCTCAGTCCTCTTCTTTGGTTAAACAAAGAATAAATAAAACATCAGACAATAAACACAGATTATTGTGATCTGTAATACCTTGACTCATTTGCTAAGCCTAAAAGGATCACCCCAAAAACTTTCTGAGACACACTTCTGTGTTCTGCAGTTTGGTAGGTCATATCTGTTGACTATTTTCCAGTTTGGGGAGATGCTGTCACACAGATTTATGGATTTATAACCAGCATTGAATAATACATTTCTGGAGCACCGAAGCAGGGGAACAAAACAAGATTGATTCGTTAAAAATGATCCATTCTTGCTCATGACTGTACATCTTTTGTTCTGCAACTTATTTTCATGGTAATTAAGACAAAAAAGTATTTGTAGTAAAACTTGAAGGTATGCAATAAAATGTTCTTCTTTTACTGATAGTGCTTTGCGGTGTCCCCGTAGGCAGGAAATATGACATTCAAAACAATACAGTGCTTTATATATTTTATTGCTTTATTTAGTGAGACCACCTGTCATCAAAATGACAAGAATAATTCCAGGATACTGTAGACCAAAAGTGAACATCGTCACTGGGCTTTTATGAGTCACAGAAAAAACAAACAAACAAACAAAAAATAAAATTTCAACCGCTAAAATTGATTGAAGAGTTAAAAATGTGATTTCAATTAAAGAGCTACTTCCTGGCCTATTAACCATTACAGAAGAAAAAAAATGATGTTTAAAGGAGGACAGCTGTGGCATAAATCTTATTTTGTGGTCTAATAATTTTGTCTAATCTAATGGGTGGGGAGGGGGGGCATTTCCCCATAATATATCAAAAGTTCAAGTAATTGGTGTTCAAATGAAAGGTCCCATTCTAAAGTTAAACATGCCGTATGTATGGGAACAGGGTGATTTCCTTAGCAAAGCATCGCCCATCATGTAACACAGTGTCTAAAATCACACACATCTCAGAAGGACCTAATCTTTTATCGTTATCAAAAAATGTTTGGGTGAGAACTTCTGCAGTGGTCTCAAATTGACTATGGATAAATTAGTGATGCTGTGAAACACTTCCAGAAGTTTTGGACATGGTTTAATGAGCCTTGGCCTGGTGCTTTCAACTTTTCTGCAGCGGAGGAAACAATGACACACACGCAGAAGCTGACATGCGGAAAGGAAAGAAAGCAAATGAGACTGAGGACTACGAGATGCATTTTGAGGAATAAGAATGTCAGTGAAACATGGCAGAAAAATATGAATCACGTGCTTCCAGTGCAACCGCAAGAAGAAGCTGATCGTAATTTCAAGGTAGCAAATTGTAGATTAATGCCACATTCAATTGGGGTCCCAAGTCGGAAATTCTACATCAGGAATCATAAGACAATTACATACAACAGGGGTGGCCAACCAGTCAGTGACTAAGAGACAATTTTTTTTACTGTGTCACTGCAAACATATACAACTTATTACTGTATATGTTTTTATGTTCAATAAACAAACGAAACAAAAAAAAAGAGCCACATCATACTCATGGGCACACATAAACATCCCTTCCTCACACACACACACACACACACACACACACACACACACACACACACACACACACACACACACACACACACACACACACGCACGTACGCAGACACAGAGACCTCTGCTCAGACAGATTTATTGTAAATGTCACACACCAACATGATAATGACAGAAATGGACTCCTACAGTACTAAGACCGCAGGCCAGTCATTTGCAACAATACCTATTGTGTGCACGGTCTCACACACACAAAC